TCTGATTGTTAAGGCCCCTACATTAATCCTGAAAAGCTCACGTTCAGCAAAAGTGGCCAGAGGAGCGCGAGATCAACGAGGGCTATCCTTTCCCCATCATGCCGGTCCACTTCCTGGATTGGAACCCACAAATGAGAAGCTCGGCGAGTTGAGCTTCACATCGGGGGGCCCTCAGAATTAGAATAGGGCTCGGGGGTGTATATATATATATATATATGAAAGTATGTCTTTTGGTAAGTCTTCCGACCTCTGAACTCGGGTTTATGTATGGGTTTGGGACTCTGATCGAGTGAGGGCTCTCGTCTTGGGGGAAGGGGGGTTTGAGTGGGTCTACATGAATCTGACTGGCGTTTTCGTAGGGTCTCTCTTGAATGCAGTTTCGGTCGAAAGCCTACCCCTTCCTCATCTAAACCCTAAGCCCTCAACCCGAAACCCTCAACCCGAAACCCGAAACCCTAAACCCTAAACCCTAAACCCTAAACCCTAAGCCCTAAACCCCTAAACCCCCTAAACCCTAAACTAAAGCGAGCCGCGGGCGCCGCATTTGCCGGCGGCGAGCGTAGCTGCGCTCAACGCAGCAGGCTCCGGAGCGAGCGACAGTCGAGAGAGGAGCCCCAGCACCTTCCAATGGTGCTGGCGCACGGCTCTGCGCGTGCTGGAAATAAGAGAATTATATGACCCTACGCCTTGGGCACGACCGCACGCAACCTCCCACCAGAGCCTTCCCTTACCTTTGCCTTCTTAATGACGAAGGCCCTCACCACCAGAGCCTTCCCTACCTCTCCCCACCAGAGCCTCCCCACCAGAGCCTCCCCACCAGAGCCTTCCCTTACCTTGGCCTTCTTAATGAAGAAGAAGTCCTCCCCACCAGAGCCTCCCCTACCTTCCGAAGAAGGACAGGCCGCAGCAGCCTCGGCACAGCGGGTCTCCCCACCAGAGCCTCCCCCACCAGACAGTGAGTCTCCCCACCAGAGCCGTCCCCACCGGAGCCTCCCGCGCCCACAGCTCCCTCCAGTTCCGCCCACAGCATTTTCCAGAATCAAAGGCAGGATTCACGCACAGGTTCCCCCACAGCTCCCCAAGGCGGGGCCTTCCTTACATGGTCCTTCTCTATGAAGGACCCAGCGAGAACCTCTTCAGCGACGGTACACTTCGTCGTCCTTCTCTGTGCAGCCAATGATGCTCCCGCAACAGTCTCCCCACCAGAGCCTCCCCACCAGAGCCTTCCCTTACCTTTGCCTTCTTAACGAAGAAGAAGTCCTCCCCACCAGAGCCTCCCTTACCTTTGCGGAAGAAGAACAAGCCGCAGCAGCCTCAGCACAGCGGGTCTCCCACCAGAGGCTCCCCCACCAGACAGCGAGTCTCCCCACCAGAGCCGCCCCAGCACAGCCCAGAGCCACAGCGGGTCTCCCCACCAGAGCCTCCCCTTACCTTTGCCTTCTTAAATGAAGAGGGACAAGCCGCAGCAGCCTCCCCAGCACAGCGAGCCGGTCTCCTAACCAGAGCCTCCCGTTACTTTGGCTCTTTAATGAAGACGGACAGCGGGTCTCCCACCAGAGCCTCCTACGAGAGACTCCCCAGGACAGCGGGTCTGCCCATCAGAGCCTCCCCACCAGAGCCTCTCCATCAGGGTAGAGTTGTGGGGGCCATATTTGATAAAGGTTCCATATTTGATAAAGGGTCCCCCCCGAGATCGGCCACCGGCCCAATCTGAAACACACATTTTTTAGGATCTCCGCACAGTGGGTCTCCCCACTAAAGCCTCCGCACAGTGGGTCTCCCCACCAGAGCCTCCCCACCTCAGTGTTAGTGCCGTACCAAGCCAAGGACAGATTTCCAAGCAAGCCCCCCTTGATAGGGGGTTTGGGTTGTAGAAAAACCCTAAACCCGACAAAGGTCATAAATTGGGTGGGTGGGTTGGGAGAGATCAGTGAACCTAGGCGCGCACCACACCACACGCCCTGCGTGGTGGTGCGCGCGGAGCGTTTCACACGCCCTAAACCCTAAACCCTAACCCCTAAACCCTAAACCCTAAACCCCTAAAACCCCTAAACCCGAAACCCTCAACCCTCAACCCTAAACCCTAAACCCTAAACCCTAAAACCGAAATCCTAAACATTGCTTTCGGTGTTCTGCAGTTCTGCCAGAAGTCCTCTGCAGCTGTTTCCCCGACTCTGGCAGATTGCGGTTTGGGTTTAGGGTTTGGGGTTTAGGGTTTAGGGTTTAGGGTTTAGGGTGGTTGAGGGGCCTGGATAATTACCAATACTACTTTTGGGGGTTTCTTAATGTAACTTTATTACAATGGGCCCCAAAACACTATTCTAGTTATGAAGGCCCCTACGTCAGGGTTGAGGGTTTCTGAGCCCTACACCCTAAACCCCAAACCCCTACAACCCTAAACCCCTAAAGCCCTTCACCCCTAAACCCTAAACCCACTCGGTCTTGAACTCCGGGTGTTTGTTGCCTCACGTCCGCCTGGGCCTCCCGCTCTTCGCCAGAGAAGTAGGACGTGCGTCCACTGCTGAAAGTAATATAGGGGCCTTAATAACTACCTATACTAGTTTGGGGTTCCTTACTATAGTTAAAGTACAGTATACCCCAGTAGTATAGTTATAGTACAGTATACCCCAAAACCCTATTCTAGTGGGTAAGGCCCCTATATTACACTTCTACCCCTCTGTTTCCCACTGGCTCTGGGAAAAGAGGATCTGCGTGACCCTAAACCCTAAACCCTAAACCCTAAACCCTAAACCCTAAACCCTAAACCCTAAACCCTAAACCCCGTCTTCCTTCCGCGGTTTCGGTTTATTTCGCTGATAGCCGCCCGAAATCCGAAACCCTAAACCCAAAGCCTCTCCTCCCCTCATAGAGCCGGACAGATCCCCTAAACCCTAAACCCTAAAACCCTAAACCCCTAAAACCCTAACCCCTAAACCCTAAACCCTAAACCCTAGACCCTAAACCCTACACCCCTAAACCCTCAGCTTCCAGTGGGGATGCCACACCCCTCTGCCACCTGAACCCGGACCTTCTACCGTCAAC